CGACATTAGATGGCTTGCCAGCAGGAACCTGGTACTAAACGAGAGTAAAACCCAGATTTTGTTCATCCCTGCCCATCGTTCTGTGAATCCTCGTGTCAGCGTTATGTGCTCTGGAGTTCAACTGGCACGAGTAGAATCCGCAAAGTATCTTGGTGTCCACATGGACCAAGATCTCAAGTGGACCACAATGGTCAACCAGATCGCCAAGCGAGCTGCCTGTAAAATAGCTGTCCTGTTTAGAAACAGGCGCTGCATGCCCCTCCCGTGCCGCATCACGTACCTGAAGTCCCTGATCCTTCCTGACTTCCTGTATGCTAGCAACTGTTTCTCTGCTGGCCTCACCTCACATCAGGTCGAGCGCCTAGAGCGTCTACTCAAGCGCGCAGCGCTGTGTTTACAACGCTCCATTTGCATCCCCATCTGCGCCGCTGTATTGCCAATTGCGATTGCACTCGCTAGAAGTTATGTACTGCCACAAGCTTCTTGGCTACACTTGGCGCTGCCTTCAGGGTAAATGCAGCACATTGCTTACCGATATGTTCAGTCCTCTTAATGCCGGCCGTGCTACACGTAGTCAGGGAAATCGAGCACTTAAAATTCCAGTCACTAAGACATCCGCTGGCACACATTCTGCCTCATTCCAATGTGTATCACTGTGGAACAGGCTCCAGCCCGACATCAGGAAAATCCCACAGTACCACCGATTCATGCGATCCCTCCCAGGACATGCTGCTTTTCAGTAATGCCACTGCCCGTTGTATTATTATTTCCTTTACTGGCCTAACTGACTTTTACAATGTAATACTTTACTACCCACTCTACTCAGTGTCATTACCTTCATTGGCCTTTTATAATTTATTCTCCTTTTTAGTCGATATCATGTAATTAGGCAAATTTGCCTGTGTGTTCTTCGACTCTAAATGAACAAACAAACAAACAAAAATTCTTTGTTCCGTTGGGACTGTAGCTTGTCCTCGTTTTCGTTGCGCTTGCCTTCCCCTCTTTGGTCTTTCCATAACCTTGAGCCATCCAAGTTGGAAGGCTGTAGGTTAGCGCTACGGAGATGTGTTGAAGCTAGGTGTCAGGACGTCGAATGTCTCACTACTCTGTCCGTGTTGTGCCTAGTCGTTGCACTTTCTGACTGTATATAGCATCTAGTTACAGTGGTGGAGAGTTACTCTTAACTCGTTTCCATATGTCCTTTTCCTTTCTACTTTTATTATTGGCTCAATACCCGAGTTTCAAACTAATAAATTATATGAATTAATATAATGTAGTTACTTGTGGGCCTAACACTTATCTTTGATATTTCTGAGCCAATCAAGTTGGGTGGTGTGCTGCTTTGCTGCTTCGAATTGTAGTTAGACCGATTTGTCAAACATCCTACTGGTCTCGTCATCGTCCAGTAACAATCGATATTCTTTGTTCCGTTGGGACTGTAGCTTGTGCTCATTTTCGTTGCGCTTACCTTCCCCTCTTTGGTCTCTCCATAACCTTGAACCTTCCAAGTTGGAAGGCTGTTGGTTAGCGCTACGGAGATGTGTTGAAGCTAGGTGTCAGGACGTCGAATGTCTCACTACTCTGTCAGTTTTGTGCCTAGTCGTTGCATTTTCTGACTGTACTATAGTATCTAGTTACAGTGGTGGAAGGTTACTCTCAACTCGTTTCCATAATGACCTTTTTCTTTTCTACATACATAGTAGTAGTAGTGTTTATTTTATTTACCATCGGATACCTCAACAGTGATATACACAACTCTTAAGAGGGCTGATAAAGGGATAAGTGGAAAGGGAAAGAAGATAAAATTGAAAAATTGGAATCCAGACATCAAGCAGTACAGTAATCAAACACCAAGTCGACTTCAAGCTTAGTAGAAGAACTATCAAGATTTGAAACTCGGATGTTGAGCCAATAATAAATGTAGAAAGGAAAAGTAAATATAGATACGAGTTGAGAGTAACTCTCCATCACTTTAACTAGATACTATAATTATACAGTCAGAAAGTGCAACAACTAGGCACAAAACTGACAGAGTACTGAGACATTCGACGTCCTGACACCTAGCGTCAACACAGCCTTCCAACCTGGAAGGTTCAAGGTTATGGAAAGGCCACAGAGGGGAAGGCAAGCGCAACGAAAATGAGCACAAGCTACAGTCCCAACGGAACAAAGAATGTCGATTGTTACTGGACGATGACGAGACCAGTCGGATACTTGACAAAGCGGTCTACCTACAATTCGAAGCAGCAAAGCAGCACACCACCCAACTTGGGTGGGTCATGAATATCAAAGATATTAAAGTAAAGAAAGGGAAGCTTTGCGAACACAAATTGTACTTTCTGTACTTTAATATCTTTGATATTCATGACCCACCCAAGTTGGGTGGTGTGCTGCTTTGATGCTTCGAATTGTAGTTAGACCGCTTTGTCAAAATATCCTACTGGTCTCGTCATAGTCCAGTAGCAATCGACATTCTTTGTTCTTTGTTCTTTGTTCTCCTTGTGTCGAGACCTCTCTTTCTACGGCGTAGACGTCTGTACCCTTCAAGAAACCAAGTTACCTGCAGGACTTGACGAGCAGCGAAACGGCTATCGAATTATTAATTTTGTGTGTTTGGAGAAAGTAGCGTTTCTCCGCGCTCTCCTTCAGCCTTCAGGAGAGTGAACCGTTTTTGAAGTGAAAGAGGGAGCGGAGTGTTAGAGCACGCGGACGGCCAGTGTCATTGTGGAGTCGCGACTTGCAGCCGTTCGGCTTGTTGGTCACCCGGAGCTCCGTCAACGCGGGCATGGAGCTAATGCGCCCAGCTTCTGACCCCGGCACAAGGCACCCCTACCCGCCATCAGCAGTCAAATGGCCTACTAAGCCAGCCAAACCGTAGCCGCAGCGGGCAGCGGAGATTTTCTGTTGCTGGTGCTCTGCTGTGGAACGCTCTCCCTGGTGAGGTCCGCACAATTATCCGGCTACCTGAGTTTAAGCAGGCATGTGTACCATACGCCTGTAGGGAGTAGTTCGAGTTGCTGCTGATCGCTCTGCTCTCCCTCTCCGTGCAGTTCAGTAACCCTCACGTAGTATCACAGATACATCGTATTCTCTCTCTCCCCCCAATTACTCGCAGTTATTAGTATCCTATTCTCATAATTTGTACTTTCACGTTATGATCTTGTCTTTAGAGCCGAATTTCCACCCTTTACAGAAATTTTAAGCCGTTTCTGGCTATTTTTTCAGCCGATCGAAAAGCCGAATAGGCCAAAATAAATGGCCGATTTGGGAAAGGCCTATCGGCTACTAATACTTCTTGTTCGTCTTGAGGGTTAGAGAAGGGGAAATAACCATGTAGGGGCGTGAGCCCGCCTCTCGGCACAGGGAGTTACAGCTCGCTCGACTCGACTCTACTGACTGAGGAGGACCCACACCTTGATCTGGTGAGCTGCGTCATGGGGATTTTTGCAGTCAGGTGTGCGACTGCGGGGCTCGAATTCTGGACCTCTCGGGTCGCAGGCCAGTGCAGTACATAATGTCCTATACTGGAGATTTTTTGTTCGTTTCTCTCTGATCGAAAACATCAAAATTTTGATAACGTTCATGAGACCGACTCTTGCTACTCTTGCAGTTTGTAGTTACTTTGAGATGATTGTCCACTCCTAGTTTCTTTGCTGACCGCTGCTTGGGTGATTCCTGACAACATTGTTGATAAAAAAAAAGATCGTCGTTTCCGGGTTTTCTTTGTTCGTTCCTCTCCGATCGAACAGGTCAATTTGGATAACGTTCATGAGATGGACTTTAGTGTGTTTGTAGTTACTTTGAGATAATTGTCCACTCCTAGTTTCTTTGGCGACCGCTGCATGGGTGATTCCTGAGTACTTCCCAGTGGACTCTCCAAAAATGTTCGGACAATATAATATGTACAATTACATGCTCAATCTGCGGACAGCATGCTGATTCGTTCTTTGTGAACTCATCAGCGCAGCACAGAGGAAATGAGGCCGAACCTGATAGCAATGAAAATAAAAATTTCCAATCAGGCCCGAACGTACCTTGCCAGAGTGCTCAAACTGACAAGTCAGTGGGCTCTGCACGATTACATGTACATGTATATACGCGCCATTACTATGCAGGGTTAAATGACCCTGGCCGGTAGTACTAGGTGCATGTATGCATGTACATGTACATGCATACATGCACCATTGCACAAAAGCGATGGGGATTTTTACTCATGGGCTTTTGTTGCCTGTGTTACTAGGCAAACGTAAGTACCGTAAAAGTTATAAGATTTTTGGATTTGAGACGTTCTATGCAAAGTTATCCTTTATGGCTAATCACCATTGTATTCGACTTGAAGAGTAATCATGTACTGTACGAAAGGCCTAGTCAAACCATAATAATAATAATTATTATTATTATTATTATAGCTTCGGTGCTTCGTGTCTTGATTATCCTGTTCTGAAAGTGAGTTTGGGGTCAATTGACCCAACCTTGCAGTTACAGTGTTATAGCGGTGTGGACCCTGGCCAGCGGCAGACGCTACTAGAGTAACGTCATTTGCATAGCGTCGGGAACTAAACAAAATTAGACTTTTTGCGATTAATGTAGTACTGGAGCAGGGCAGGTCAACGCAATGCCGAAAATTAGCAAATCGGAACGGCGCCAGTGATATTCGCACACCCTGGTAGGCGTACAAGTGTTAGGATTTCCTCAATGCAACATAGTTCACTTGAAAGCTGCTGCTAGGCAGTTCAGTCTGAGTCACAGTGAGAGGAGCACTTCGACGTGTGATTGTGCTGAATATCGATCTTCTTCAAGTTCAAGGCTTGATTACAGGACCCTTGTCCATGCGTTGGTCCGCAAGCACCATGCACTCGCACACCATTCACACGCAGATCTATCCCCGCTACAAATATCTGATACCAGTTGACGTAAAGCTACCTGCACCGGTACATACATACATACACATGAACAAAGGAGTAAATAGGGACGTTTTCACTCACAAAGCAACTGTTCAGTACATGGGGTAGTGGTCTACCAGAGCAATCACACTCACGGTAGTGGTGTACCAGAGCAATCACACTCACCACCGTGGTGGTTTTCCAGAAATGAGTAGAAGCAAAAAACCACACTCGCAGCCACATAATACATAAATAGCCGAAAACATCTAAATCCATCAAAGAACCGCCAGCAAGCGGGAGAAAAGGTTGTATAATCAAGTGAAACAGCATGGCCAGTGGTTAGCATGGGTGACTGGGCAGCAGGGGAGCGCCTGAAAACAATGACTCCCTATATTCCTAGCCGCGACCGCTCAACCGGGCTAGAGGAAAAACACGCCTTTCTGCCAAAAAAACCTTTCTATTTCATTAATTCCTGCCCTGCTGCCAGTTGGACCCAAGAATAGAGACAGCAAGAAATGGTATGTAATAACCAGTGTATGTCATAATTATAAGCCGCACACATTGGTATAGAATATCAAGAAGAACAGCGGAAGACCCCCATGAAACCAGGGTGGGTGGGCGGGCAACTTCAACTACCACGAGGAAAAACAAAGACCATGATGGCAGGTTCAACGGAGTTGCGCAGAACAAGAGCAAACGCATGAAAATATTAATTGTGTGAGTGAAAAATACGTTTTTTGCACTCTTTTGCTACGCTCAGCCGTGACAAAACAAAAACTTTAGCAATGCGAAAATTCGAACTTTTGGTGGTGGTGATATTTCGCGAAAATCTATTTCGAGGACTTTTTGTTAATGTTTTGATTATAAAAATGGAGGTACTGGTTCACTGGTTGGCGTTTGGCAATGCACGATGGGACCACCTGTGACCTCCAACAGTTCTCAATGTCACTCTGCACTGCATGTCGGTGGCCTGGAGACTGCATGTCTAGGTAATTCCCCTGACCTACTCGTCTCTTCGACTTGCAGCTCCTCAATGCGTTGTATGATCTCCACGAATGATGGCCGGTCACGTGGTACGTCCTTCATGCATTCCTCAGCCAGGTGACGATACGGGTAGGGAGTTGTGGGAGGAAAGACTGGCGTATTACCATCGAGGATCTCTTGGTGGATGTAGTCCGTGCAAGTCAGGTGCGAGTAGGGAAGCTGCCGAGTGAATATCTCCCACAGAACAACACCGTAGCTGAAAGGAACATACACACCACGCGCGCGCACATCCACACAGGAACACAATACGCAAAACGCACACGCGCACACCCAGAAACACACACCCATGCAAGGAAATTGCGGCCGAGATATTATGTAAAATACGAAGGAAGAGCAAAGACATAATGATGTCACGAAAAATGTAGTTGCCAAGCAAGTCAAACTCTTGCCGAAGAGCAGTTTCTGACGCCAACGTACCACAATGATGTTGAATTCCGACGCTCCCTATAACCCCACACTCTTCCAATGGGATAGGCCGTATTGGGGACGACAATTCCACTCCTCTCTAGGAATTTTCCGGCAACCGAGAATCATACCTAATAGGTTATACACTTCACAGTGTATAGGTATGATCCTAGTGATACCGCCAATGCCATGGCAACGGAAAACAATGGATAACAATGGATAACAATGCCATGGCAACGGATAACAATGGATAACAATGGATAACAATGGATAACCTTTTTGCACCAAGATGAGACCAACCTCTAACTGACCTCTAACCCAATCACCCGTACCATACCTGTACACGTCCGATTTATCTGTATAGGTGTTCTCCTTGAGCAGTTCAGGAGCTCTCCATCGATCAGTGCCCACACCACACGTCATGCCGACACGTGACGTCAGCTGCGATGCTGTGCGCTCGTTACGGATGACGTCACATTGCTCGTCGGTTGGTGACTCCGCCAGAAGAGGTTGACTGATGCTGGATAAACTGGATGACGCAACCATAGGGCCGGCTATGGTGGTACGAAGTGACGCTCTTTTGGGTGTTTGGCACACACCCCGCGCGTCTGCTTTCTTTGTAGAAGATGCAACATCACCACCTTGCTTGGCTTTTGCCTGGTCTTCATCTTTCACAATAGCGAGATACCGGACAAACTCCACGTCGGCAACTTTCACCACCCACTTTCCGCTTACCAGTAGATTTGGACTTTTCAAGTCACGATGAACCTGCGGCGGGTTGGAACTATGTAGATATCGCATGCCACGAGCGATGTCCATAGCGAAGCGTAGTCGATCACTGTGGTCAATCACCACTTCAGCGTCGTGCAAGTTGTCGTAGAGAGATCCTCGCCGCAAGTACTCCATCACCAGAAATGGACATCCGCTTTGGGTATCCCGTCCGGCTCCCAGGAAGATCACGATATTCGGATGTCGCAAAGACCGTAGCGTCTCCGCTTCTTGAATGAAAATATCGTATGGGGACGTTTGCCATTTAGCAGGAGTGCATTGTTTGGCTAGCTGCTTGACAACTACAGTCATATCACTAAATTTGGCCAGGTAGACTTTGCTGTACGCCCCGGAGGCGATTTGTTTGCCGATCGTCAAGTCTGACCACTTTAGTCGTGTGCCTCTGTTGATTTCATCCAACTTTCTCTCAGATATGCGAAGATCGCGATGCTTGCACTGAAGCTGTTCTTCAGTGCGGCGTAACTCTCCTCGCTTTCGTGCAAATTTGACCAGGAAGGCAATTAGCATGGCCATAACGAACGAGAAGACGACAGCAGCCAACTGGGACAGGTACACAGTCGGCGTTCTGCAGTTATCGTCTGGTAGATATCCGAATCGGCACTTGCAGTATGCCTTGTTTCCGCTGTCCACAAAGCATGTACCATGTCCGTGACAGTGCTGCACAGTGCACGGATTCGAGGCAATGCATAGCGTGGCGCCTGTACCTTGCGTTGTCAGGTCGTCTGGGCACTTCATGCATTGCTTAGGTACGCTGTCAGAGTAGTATCCCTTAGCGCATGGCTGGCATGAATCGCCTTCGGTTCTCCCGTAACCCAGCGGGCAATTCTTGTCGTTTTTCACGCGCAGATAACTAAGGCCTGGTGCAATATTATCTGGAACGATTCCTCCAAATATAAAGTTGTCCATGATTCTATGGTTGTGGATGGTGTAGTTGAAGAATGGTATAGCTGTGACTGTATTGTTTGCATTCAGTTGGATCAGCTGTGCTTCTGAAGGTGTTCCTTTACTACCTTGACTGTAGGAACCTCCCAAAAGCAGAAGAGAGTCATTGGTGTAGAATGATAACGTGTGTGCGTAGCGTGGTGCAATGGGATTAGTGAATTCCACAGATGTCAACACAATTTGTTGCAGTGACTTGAAAGAGAGAACTATTAGCGAGGAGCCGATTTCCATTGACCGAGCTTTCATTTTGCCTCCGAAAAATATTGCGTAATACTCATGGACAGTAACTGAGTGGCCTCGTCGTCGAGGCAGGTGGCCGCCGGTTATTCTGCCAGTTAAGTTATGCCATTTCCCGGTGCATTCCGGACTGAAGACATCCAATTGTAGCATCCACAAATCGGCAAATACCTCGTCAATATGTCCGCCACCTTGAACAAACATCTGGAAGGTGTTAAATGAGAACGCCACGTGGTCGGCACGTGCAGATGGCACTGGGTCTCCAGGTGCAACCAGGAGAGAGTGCCAGTTATTGAACTTTGAATTGTAACACCAAGTGATTTGTGCGTATGATGGCTGAAAGAAGCCCACGCCAGTAGCATTGTAACCTCCAAAACAAATCGCTTTGTCTCCCACACTGGTACACGTGTATCCGATCACCCAAGCCAGGTTTGGCCCACCTGTTGATTTCCACATGCGGACAATGGACATAAAGCTGCCAGAGGTTCTCTTAATAATTCTCAAATTCCAAATGGACGTTAAGGAGTCTTCTCCCGGCCGATTTAAAGCAAGTCGCCTGTTTGAAAGTAGGCATGTACCACCGACGAATATGAACTGAGTGCTTTGAGAACTTCTGAATGTGGCTATTGGAGCCGCCGTTAAACATTGCTGCCGTCCGGGAAAGCGCCATAACAAGTCTCTCTGCAGCAGACACACTGGAAACATTCTTAGAGAGCCATTCTTGTTAGCTTCACTGACCCTTCGCAAGGTAAATGCATGGATATCCTCAACACCAGTAACGCCATTGAACACGAGATAAAAGTTACTCGACGACCCGGACATCAGGCTATACCAAATGTTTGAGCGTGGGCAGCCAGTACAAACCGGTAAATGTATAGATGGTGGTAACTCTATATTCCCCATTTCGTCACAGTGAACTCGGTTACCGTTGATTGAACGTAACTGGCATGCGCGAAAGCTTATAGAGGATCCGGATACTTGACCTGCCACCATGAGGACAGCCAATTCTTCAACGTATGTAGCCTGCACGACATTGAGCAAGATCTGAAATGACAGGTACGTTGCCGCGTGCCCCGCGCTGGTGCTGATGGGGGGAATACCTGACACGACCAGCTGATTCCAGCTTGAATTTCGCATATTATACACCCATAGGTCATTTAGCAGCACAATGCGAGTGTAGTTGCTGGTAGACTTGAAACCGCCGAATAGCAGCAGGGAGAATTCATCGATTAGAAACAGAGACGGGTTGGAGCGAGGGCCAGGAGTCAATATTGTGTCACCTTTGTCTTCAGTCCAGTGACCCACGGATTTGTTGAATGTATTCACAGTCAAACGCCACACGCTAGCGGAGAAGCTCAAACATGATGGATTACTGACGTCATTGCAGAGCGACCCTCCGTAGGATATGAGCGCGAATTCTTCAGGTGACGTCATTATTGTGACCAAAGCGGGTGAGAACGCCCAGGGAACATTCTCCCCACCAGATGACTTCATACTAGTGGTAGTATGGCCATCATAGAGAATGATCTTGTTTGTGCAATTGTCGGGACCGAAGCCATAGAAGATCAGCATTCGTCTATCTGGCGATGACGTCACGCCTGGTTGAATCCGTATCTGGCAGTTACATTCGGCGGAAGGTAGCAAGTCTTCAATGTTGTACAAATACTGTTTACTCCAGGTTTGGGTCCGTCCCTCAACGGGGAAATATGAGCATCTAAAGGCGCAGTTATAGAGCTCAGTGCGATCGGCGTTAAACGGCATTGCAAAGTTCACGATGGCCTCCATGCGATCTCCTGTTTCCTCCCGACCAAATATGATAGTCTTTCGTGGGCTGATTGTCTTTCGGAGAGGGTCACCAGGTCGTGGAAAATCCAAAAAAGTATTAGGATCATGCTGAATGGTCACAAATTCTGCTTCTAGCGGCTGGGGTAGGTCGCTGTGGTCCCTCTGCGCAATAGCACATCTTGCACAGAGTATTGCGAGAACGTGAACATAAAAGGTCCTGGCCATGCTAGGACACGACTCTCGTCAGCACAGAAAGTGGAGATAAAGGCTTGGCGTGCGCGCACAGGTAAACTGGCAGAAACCTTGGCAGTGATCTCGCGGAAAAGTCTCTGAAAGCCAGCTACAGGACAAGTGAGAGTTCACGTACTAGAATGCAGTATTAAAGGGTTCTGCTACTCGTCCTCAGGATGGGCAGGTCGTCTGTGCGCTATCTGCTACCTTGAGCCATGGGCACTCGCTGAGGGCTTTGCAAGCGGCAGACGTGCTCGAGAAGAGATTCTGGTTCGAGTGCAGTCCAAGCGGAAAGATCTCCACAGCCGATAGAGTCTGTTTGTATCGTTCATGTCGGAAAAAGCGGTGAACCGTGCAATACGCTCGTCAGTTGACACTGCGTCCCGTGGTGCATATCATTGTGTGATTCATTATGTTATGTTGTTGCCATTTGTGCCGAAATTTGTTTTGTCACCTTTTATTTTCTATTTATATTATTCATTCTCACTTTTTGTTGCCGATACACACTTGCCACGCTTGGCTCTCATACTCTGGTTTTGTGCACACTTTTGTGAGAAATCACACCTTAATATTTTAGTTCGGTCATTGTATCCTGCTTACCCTACCTTGATTGAAGTTGATTCATTTACTTTTTCATTTTTACGAGACACTTATGAACCTCGAGAACTGAATACTGCATGATAGAGGTGGCTGCAGAAGCAACTGTGGTGGTGAAACTGGAGCATCTCCGCCGACATGAGGTCTTGGCTTCAGCGACACTTCGGTGCATCAAGAAATGGAGACAAGTAGGCACAGGGCTCGATCAAAGTGGGAATGAGACGACACAGGCGATCGGGCAGGGGGAGGGGGGGTACATTGTATAAAGGGTGAAAAATTAAAAGATGATGTACATGTGCTCGAGTACAGGGGAGAGCCAGGGTGCAAGCGGAGAGAGAGTGTTCGGGGAGAGTTCAGAGGGCATCTATGGCTGAGTGTCAGTCTCGTCTGTGGAGAGATTTGTAGGCGCCTTCCTTGAATCTTCCTTGAATGTACACGTATAACCAGCAGCAACCCGTTGTCAGGCAATGCTTCTAGGACTGAATGAGTTGACGCCATGAGGATGCCACAATATGGCATCCTCGTATGATGAGGATACCATAATTATGAGGATGCCATGGCCGGAATGATGACCACGTGACCGCCCTGGCTTGCCATGCCGGCCTCTTGGTGCTTCCGGAACAGCCAATTAGAATATCGTACGTTTCCTTCTGGAGAATAGCGGGTTATTGTGACCTCGCCTTTCTCTATCCGCCTTTATCCGTGTCATAGCGACCTACTGCAGAAAAAATTCAAATGCATGTACTGTGCGCTGAAAGCGATCAATGCAAGTAAAGGGCAATTGTTATGGTCGAGGACAACTTTCCCGTTAAAACATACGATGGCGCTACGACTTATAGTTCTGGCATAGAAATCGCACATATGCTCCACATATTCTCCACATATTCTCCACACTCATCAATGCGGTGGTACCGCACTACATCATCTACCGGAACTGGGTTGGGGGGGGGGGGGAGGCATGAGGGCCAGCAAACGAACATTCTTACTTGGGTTTGCGATTGATATGTCAGTATCTGTTGTTTCAAATCTCAAGATCACCTATGGCCACTAAGAGAAGATAATTATAGTGAGACTTCATCACATTGAGGATCATGAAGGCTTGATTAAGGAAAATTCATGTTTAGCAGTGCGTTTTGGTGTTGTCGCAAATCTGTATTATCACGATAGCCTGTAGCCAAAAAGAGATGTTGTTTCAAATATATATTTTCACGATCGCCAGTGGCCAGTACGAGATAAAAAGTGTGCAAGAAGAGAAATGGTTAGGAAGAATAGGGTGGGCAGGGATTAATGACTACTTTCAAAAGTGTGCTGTTGCTGTTGTCGTTGAGGTTAAATGCCCTCCGAATACCCGTAGACGTTCGATACCCTCCGTGTGCAAGCGTTCGATTTGGAGAACGAACAAAGAATGTTTCTGGATAGCGTGCATCAGCTTCAAATGTTACATAAAATCGCGTACAGGGAACCCTACAAATGTAGTGACGGTGTAGTATCGTTGTGAAAGCCATTCCAGACTGCCTTTATGTTGAACCAAATTGATGTGTTGATTTGTTGAAGTGCATATTGTTTTCGCTACATTGGACACTATACTAGCACACCTACATTGTACTGTGAATTCAGACACCGAACCTTGCCATTGAATCATATCACGTGGTGCCAAACGCTGTGACCATCTGCTCCACATAGCCATAATTCTGGTCCGTGATCAATCGATTCTTCTGCATGCGGCAATCTCCACGCTCTTGGCCAACATAATGAGGCGCAGAATGCTCTCCAGCGATAAGGAAGTAGTACAAGAACCCGTCAACCTTGGATCAGGAGAAGCACACGTTATTAGCGGTATTGAACAACTAACAGCTCTACGGAAATAACATTCCTGGAAACCAATCTGCCTTCAGATGCAGGAATACACTCAACGTAGCTTGCTGGTCTTTACAATCAACGTTTCCATAAGCAATCTTTTTCAATTCTCTTGAGGTAGACGCTAGCAGGAGTAGAACCTGACCAGTACAATAAACAAAAGTGGATAACACGCAGCAGGAGGTGGATTAGGTTGGTGCGACTTCGGCGATACTTGGGGAATTGTGTGTTGCTCCCTACGTGGGAGTTGCGCTATTCCTGCCGACTTGAATTCTCACTTGGCTGACTCACGACTGCCATCCAGAGCACGCGAGAAGTCCATCGAACCTTCCACTCGGCAAACCTGCAAGATAGCACCACTCCCTGCTCAATACACAGTGTTTCGGGGAATTCACCTCTGATCAGTTGAGCTTGAGTAGGCTGGCGAGAACAACACGGAAAAAAGGAGTAAATGATGATTCTTACAAAGTAACGTTAAAGAGTCGGCGGCGGCTGAGTGGAATCATCATGCCCTAGAAATTGTACGAGTGAAGAGGTTTGTGCAGCGTGATAAGCATTGTGAAAACAGTAGACGGCAAGTTCGTCGATCTAATGATACGTGGATAGCCTACCTAACACCAGTAACAGCCTGCGAGTGGATGCTTAAACTGCACAATTGAAGTTTTATTGTCATGTCTCTACTTGTAGCGTTGCGTTTGTATTATTATTATTATTAATAATATTAATAACGAGAAGTAGCGACGACCCGGCCATTATGGAATCCAATACACCACCTTCGACATTGCGCTCTTGGCCGATCCAAACTCTGCACTCACATCACCATCACCACAGCGAGGACAATTCCGGTACATAGATTGATATTGACAATGACCCTCCAGACAGCTGTTTCGCTGTGTCACTTAGGGTATGCCACGTTTCTATGCAGAATGAGCGCAATTGCGCCAATTTAGTCCTATAAAGATCAGTCTATTCTTATTATTCTTTCATTCAACATCATATGCATCCACTGATGAGTTCAGGAGGAGAGAAACAGCTGTCTGGAGGGTCATTGTCAATATCCAACTATATACCGGAATTGTCCTTGCTGTGGTGATGGTGATGTGATTGCAGAGTTTGGATCGGCCAAGAGCGCAATGTGATGGTGTGGTGTATTAATAATAATAATATCTTTATTAGGATGACCCAGAGGCTTGTCGCCTATCGAATTCCAATATTAAGAACAGTTTATTATTATCAATGCCACTGTCTGGTCTGTGTATCCCCGAAAGAAGAGTTGTTGTGTCAGGCCAGTGATATCATGTTGTGTGATCGCCAGTGTAAGATGCTTACACAACATTTCCTTGAATTCTGCTCCATTTCTTTATCAACATACCAAACATGCATGAAACTTACCAGAAGCAGTTCCAAATTCTGCAGAAACGGTTCCAAATTCTTCCAATTTTTATGCCGGAAATATCCGCAAAGGGGTAGGTGACACAAGCCAGCAGTGGAACATTATCATCGTTGACACAAGCCAGCAGTGGAACATTACCATCGTTGACACAAGCCAGCAGTGGAACATTACCATCGTTGACACAAGCCAGCAGTGGAACATTACCATCGTTTTGCTGTTACTGTGAGTTTCATGGTTGTGTACCAATCTCCAGAAAACATTATTGTGTCATGTGTCTGTCACCTCGCGGTACCGGGCACCTTTTCCAAGTTCACAGCAAAATTTGCTTGCGTAGTTCTAGTCTACCGCCTTTTCATTTAGATTTGAAAAGCCCGAATATACTGGTCAGGGAAAAATCGGTGGTGATAGTTTCGAAGTTGCAGTTTGCGCGCTATATCGCTGGAAAAGATGAAGAACACCCATGATGAGAAGGGAGCGAGAACGTGTGGTTCAGAAAATGTTCGACTTGTTCTTCTGGAGTGGTGTGGACGACGTATGGATGCATGAATTTACTACTTGAATATAACACAACATCAAGTCAATATCTCCTACAAGACTAGCAAGCTACTGCATTCACATCAAATACATACTGGCTATTCTTGAGGGATGCACCTAGTGTGCAACAAGTGTTCGAATTGCCGTGGAGGCAGAGCAGTCAATTCTTATTAAATTTTATTTTTATTTTACTAAGTCCACTATGCTCACGAATAAATGCGGAAAAGTACAGTTGCTTCTGCGTTCACCACCGCCATTCTGCTCTTACCCTCTTGCTAACTACAGTTGTGGCCTAAGAAATCCAACCCGCGTGTCGAAAGCAGCGTCAAGGCTCATGTGGCCCTCTGATAGGGACCGGCGGATTCTGCTCGAAAAGGTGGCAGATTCTGCTCGAAAAGCAGTGAAATTGGTACTTCAGCTGGTGAACAGTTTTATCCGAGGGCACAAACCGCAGGCGGGCAATTCCTCGAATTATCCTCCATTTTTTATCCACATACCAAACATGCACGAAACTCACCAGAAAAAGTACCGAATTCTGCCAATTTTTCTGCCAGCAGAATCCGCCGGACCCTACCCTCTGATCAGTTTTGGGAACATGTTTGATGTACAGTCAACTTCACTAATAACGACTGCGGATATAACGACAATTCGCGAATAACGACAGAATTTCCATGCCCAGAGCAAAGTCCCATCTAACTGTAGTACATATAATGAGACTTCGGGTATAAGGACGCTTCGCGAATAAAGACACTTTTCTAATGCCCCGTCGAGTATCGTTATACGCGAAGTTGACTGTAATTGAAATGGAAACGTGGCGCTGCTTTTGACTCGGGTTCGGATTTCTTTGGCCACGACTACATTAACTGGAAATTTTCTGTAATTTTCCATTTCAACTTTAGTGCTGCTCACTGAAATCCTATCACCCAAGTCAATGATTATTCCACCGTCTGGTCTGTGCATCCCCAGGCGTTTCAACACTTAACTGGCCTATGTGCCCTGGGTCAGAGCACCAACGCGACTCACGTGTTTAGAGTTCCTGGTGCAGCACAGCTTCGACGAAATTCGACTGAAAGAAGACTATAGATTTGGGTGAAAATGCATTTTACATGTATTTTTGCATACATTTTCATTTTTGTCTGATGAGTGTTTTTGAACAAGAAACCCGGTGTGACGAGAAAGATATCGGTCTCTGTTGTTCCGACTTGCCATGTACATGACAATTGACATGCAGTGTACACGTACTAGGAGTGGAGCTCATTACATGTACATGTACTGTACATGTACTTGTCAGTTTGTCTTTGAGCAGTCAGGCAAGGCACATGTGCGTTCGGGCATGGTCTAAATCTGGATTTTGGAAATTTTATTTATTTTTTCATTGCTATCAGGTTCGGCCCAATTTTTGTTTGTTTTTTAATTCCGGCCAACCCGCCACTATACTTCTTTTTCGTCTTGGGGGTTAACCCTAAACAAGGAGAAGTTGACATGTAGAGTCATGAGCCCGCCTTCCAGCACCGGCAGTTACAGCTCGCTCGACTCCACAGAGTGAAGAAGGCCTTATGTTCTCTGTGCTGTGCTGATAAGTCCACAAGGGACGAAACAATTCCGTCCGCAGATTGAATGAATTTGTATCATGTCACGTGACTTACTCTAGATCAAATCAGCAGTATAATAATTATCTGAACTGTCTCACACTTGCTGTGCTTCATGTCCTGAACATTTGACCAAATTGTGCTTCAAATGTGTTCATTCCGATCGTGAACGCAGGGCTATGGAACACAGTATTGTTCATGAAGTTGGACTGAAGTGAAGTCTGAGCAAGCTCCTCTTTCTCGTCGACTTTACAAATCCTAAACTGACGTCACGCGCATTCTCTCACAATTCAATTGAAGCGTAGCACAAATAAAATCCTTTCCAGGGTCGTGCCTGGTACGTCACCACCTCCACAGATGTCAGTCCTCACGCGTGCTGTAGACTGGGAGGCGGGGCAAGGCTCTATCACGTGCCATTCAAGCCCCTGCAATGTATGGTTGCTGAATGGATCAGCTTCGCGCAGAATCATGTTCCTCAAATTATCAGCACAATCATGTTCCTCGTATCGCGAACGGAAAAAAGAAAGAGGCACGTTTCTATTGATACATTGACGAGGTCGCTGTAGGATTTGGTGTGGGTCTATCGACCAAGCCGTGCGACCAAGCCGTGCGAGGATGAAGTCTCGCTTAGGTCTAGCGTTCCTGCTGGTTCTAGCACAGTGTATTCTGCTGGAATGCAGTCGTCAAGGTGCTGACATAGCCCCAGAGAATGGAGCCCAGTTTGATGCTGCAGAAGATGATGATGGCGACGTTGCTAGTAATGTTGACTACAATCGCCTAGAGAGAGTACTGTCGCGACTGGCACAAAGCGACGAGGACAGGGATGATGAAAGTGACTCGGATAGCGAAGATAGCGACCGAACCGACAGCTCGGACAACGAGAATGAAGACGAGCGAGATGGTGTAGAAGCTGTTCATAGTGATGACAACGAGAGCGACGACGACGACGACGACGATGTAATTGATGCTAAGGCCCCAGAACGATCCAACTGGAAGGTGAGACGCGGTTATGTCCCACCGGCAATCAGGCTCCGTACCATCAATCACAAACTGGCGCCCGTGGCCAGCTTCAAGCCAGTTAGTGCACCAAATTCTCGCAAACCCGCGAGATTCTCGGCCAGGGTTGCACGCTTCACTCGCAGGCGTCGTCGTCGTCGTTACTTCTACTTTCGCAGGCCTGCTTGGTTTACACGTCATCGACGCCGTCGCTTCCACTTCTTCTGGGGATGAGGACGTTAAGTTGAAGTTGTGAGTTGTTGCGCTAACCAAGTGACGCTGTGCTATAACGTTCATCATCTAAGCCTCTTTCAATGGCCAAATCGTTCTAGCTTTGAGATCAGGATTCTGATTTTAGATACACGCGACCAGTCATTCAATTCAATTCACTCTCAACAGCTTTCATTGCTGTGATCTCCCTGGCAATGAATTTGCATTTCGTTTTCTAATCTTTCCTGCTGTTTTCTGGTTTTCAAATCGTGATAATTATGTAGAAGTATATTGAAGCAAAAGATGTTTGGGGGAGATAGGGGGCAGAGCGGTGATAAATCCTTACAATATGCCCAATGATTCGGCCGAGAGAATGACACAGATCGCACCAGGATCTGGTGTTTTGCAGATGTGTAGTGGTGACTGGGTACCCTGGGTATGAGAAGTAGATGTACTTCGAAGTACCTTCTAAATAATTACTTCGAAGTACAGCAAAACCTGGTTTAAGCGACCACCCCACGGATCAAGCAAAAGCGGTCGTTAAAGCCAGGTGGTCTTAGAACCAGGTCCCACAGTTTCTATGTAGAACTGTCCGTACACGGAAAAAACGGTCGTTAAGAGCAGGTGGTCGCTAAACCCAGAGGTCGCTTACACCAGGTTTTACTGTATACTGTGCAGAGGTGCAGAGCTGAATGGGGTATCAGTGCCTATGTATTACCGCCATGGCTGGCTATCGCCCACATCACCATTTCATTGGCTAGTGCCACGTGATTGTGAATAAATAATAAAAATAATAATAATAATAATAATAATAATTATTATTTTGCCTGTCTCTAAATCCGATCAGTGGCGAGTTGACCAGGACGGGTCTTGGCTACCGCTGTGGCCCACCGGCCCAGGTGTGCCCTGTATCGCACCTGTGGTACATGGACGACATGAAGCTCTTCGCCCGAAACGACAATAATCTGCTCTCCATGACCAATGTTGTGGAGTCAATGGGCGACTGCATTGGTATGCATTTCAACCCGTCAAAGTCTAGCTGGCTCACTTTGAAACGGGGGAGAGCCCAGAGCGATCAGCAGTCTGCTCTCCGGACACTCCAGGGTCACGCTATTGCTAAGCTGCAGGCGGAGGAGTCCTACAGGTACCTTGGTGTCCCAGAATCAGCACATTTTCACGCCACCGAATTGAAGACCACAGCAAAGTCTGAGTTCGGCCGCCGCCTTCAATTGATATGCTCGTCTCAATTGAACGCCAGGAACTTGGTCAAAGCCATCAACACCTTTGCCATTCCAGTCATCCTCTACTCTCTGTGCATCGTTGAGTGGACAAAGGCAGAGATAGAGGAACTCGACCGACAGACCCGCCAAGCACTGTTTAAAGCACACGCCCGCCACCCCAAGGACTCTGCCGCCAGGGTCCACCTGCCTCGTGACATGGGTGGTCGAGGAATTCTATCATTCCGGGATCTCCTGGATAGAACCCGTGTCCGGGTGGCGCGGTACCTACAAGCCCACCCAGACGTGCCACTGTTGGCTGCTGTTAAGCGCCATCACGACAATGATGTGGCACCGTCAAAATCAGTTACACGTCAAGCCTCCAAACTTCTGGGTGAACTTGACCTACCCGACTTGGAGACTGCCACAAAAGTAATTGTCAAGAAGGCCGTTGCTCTCCGGTGCCTGGCCGTTATCCAAGGTAAGCCTCTCCATGGCCAGTTCTGGAGACGAGCTTCTGATGCTGGCTTGGACCTGGGCTTGAGTTTTCGCTGGCTGAAATCGCCAACGATCAGGCCTGCGACAGAGGGACTCTTGCTGGCTGTACAGGATCAGACCATTGCGACCAGGCACTATCAGGTCACGGTCATTGGACGGGGAGACGTTGTGGACATTTGTCGAGTTTGCGGCACTCGCGGAGAAACAGTTGATCACATTGTGGCCTGTTGCCCAGCTCTAGCCAAAACACTGTATATCGAACGGCATGACACGCTCGTCAAGTTGGTGCATTGGGCACTATGCAAGCGGCATGGTCTGGGTCGGCCGGGAAGCAACCCGCTGAAGCATCATCTTGTGCCTGTCACGGAAAATCTTGACATGAAGCTCCTGTGGGAGTTCAATATCCCAACGGATACGCAAGTGCGCCACAACCGTCCAGACCTGGTGTTGCGGTCCAGCACACAGGTGCTGCTGATGGATGTTAGTGTTCCATTGGACCAGAATGTGCCCACAAAAATCGCCGAAAAAATAACAAAGTACGCTCCCCTTTGCCAAGAGCTGCGGCGCATCTGGCATGTGGATGATGTCCGCGTTGTGCCCCTGGTTGTTGGGGCGCTTGGTGGACTGACTGGTGTGTCCCTCTCACACTTTGTGTTGGCATTGGCAGGCACTCTGCGCATTGAAAGGGCTCAGCAATGTGCTATCCTGGGCACGCTGAACATCATCAAGTCGGTTCTTGGCATTCGGCATTAGGCTCCTCATGTTACGGGTAGAGCTAGTCCGTATAAACCTCCAATACTGCATTTGCTTTGACATCCATGAATGTGCAGTATGACGGTCCTCACAGCCTGATTTTTCTCTTGCCATTTGAGTATGTCTGGCATTCATCTCTTCCTCTATTTCTACAGGTCTATTCCTGTACTGGTAGTCCATTTTTGTGATTACTCTTTTTTTATTCGAATATGTCCTGGCCTCCTCCATCGTTCTGCTTATTTCTGTCCGTCTCTCAGTTTCTGCGTCGGCTTTCAATATTTTTGCTTTGGTTTTTACAATCCTTTTTGCTCCGGTCTCCATTGCGTTGGCCATTTATCTATTTTTTTCTCTCATTACCCTTGGTCTCTTTTGGCCCGGTGATGGGGTTCTTACCTCATGTCATGACAACGTGAGTGAAATAAAGCCAACTCCATAATAATAATAATAATAATAATAATAATAATAATAATAATAATAATAATAATAATAATAATAATAATAATAATATGTGAAGCATGGATAGTGGATACCCATGTAACATCAGATCTATCCTCTTCCTATTGTAACACAATCATGACACAGAACAACAAGGGCAGACAAGGCCAATGTGTCGCTACTCTGACGTTCATGCTTACGTATTCATCGGGGTATGCCAGGAGAGATATTTGTGGAATTTGTGGTGCTGGTGTTATTAGTATTATTCTTTATTCTGATGATGGTGATGCATGGGTTGATGACTTGGTAAGCGTTAAGCGCTGTGTGGACTCTGTGTGCTGTGTGCTGTGTGCTGTGTGGACTCTGTGTGCTGTGTGCTGTGTGCTGTGTGCTGTATAGGTTTCAGGGCTAGCAGTATTATGATTGTTCATTCGAAGCGTGCGTGGTGTAGGCAAGAGGCTGTGTACAGAATGTGTGGTTGTTTTAGGCGTTAGTGCGTTAGTGGCAGAGCCAGGGCTAGCAGTGTACTCTTAGCGCGGAGTATGTGGCTGGCATGGGCAGGAGGTTGTGAGCAACGTGTGCGATTGGTGTGGGCCGGAAGTTGTGAGCAAGGTGTGTGGTTGGTGTAGGCAGGAGGCTGTAGAGGCAGGGTTATTGAGGGCCCGGTCCCACATGCACTTGAGAGTTGCGGATCCGCTGCAGCGGTGTCGCAACAGCGTGTATCACCATGGAAACTGCGAGTAGCGGAACTTCCGCCGTGGCGGAAAGTTCAAATCCGCTACTCCAAAATTTTTGGAGCGTATACTCTCCTGCGGAAGTTCCGCTCCTGCGACACTCCGACATAGTGGGCGATTTGTGTTGTTCGATTTTATTTTCGATCATGAAGTGGACAGTTTGACTTTAGTCAGAGCAGCTACGGCTACAATTGTACATGTATGTTGAAGTCAAGACTCGTTTGGCCAAGGTGAAGAGAGATACGGAGCGATAGGTGGATTGTCGAGAAGCTGAAACCGACGGCTGCGGCGTCGGCCAAAGACCAAATCCCGGACCTGTGAGCAGCCAAGCATGGCCATCATGTAAAACCACGCAGTCGGACCACTGTGATGTAGGTCAAGCAAGAGCGATACATGTACCACTATCACCAGTATCTGTAGCAGTTATCATTGGTTATCGTCGACGTGCTGCTCAACAAGTTCGTACTAGAATTCAGCAACAAAATGTCGCTGCGGTCTCCATTGCCTGTCGACAACGTCTCGCCAATCGACCTCTACCCAACGGAAAATCCATTCTTTCAGATTACTAGTATAGTATACAGAACAAAGACTCAAAGTCAACAATACCGAACCCACGACATGTAGCTAAGTATGTATTACTGCACAAGGACCAGTGCAATACCGGCCGATATCTGCACGAACGGCGAAGCCGTAAGTGCAGATATCGACGCCGGTATTGCACGCGTCCGAGTGCAGTAATACATTTATCGCACCCCTGTCACCACACACTTGTGTGTGTGACTTGACACGGTCTGGTGCAACCCTAGCATGCTTCATGCAACCCTGCTATCATTTCACAGTCATACAACACAGCACAACCAGTCGCGTTCATTTTTAGAGGAACACTTCTTTCGAGCAGCTGCTGTATACACGGGAGATCATGGAAGTAGCGGGACAGCTTGCTCATGTCGTCGTCGTTGATGGGGTGTTTCTGCTCCACCGCTTTGACTTCTCCCCGCTTTCTTTGGCTTCAGGAGGAAAGCCTTCAATGCAATGTTTGCGTCCTTGAACGCTGGGTCACTGTGGACGTTCATGAGCCGCTTCAACTCGACTAGCTTGCGATGTATTGCGGAACGGAAACCGAGCAAGCTTGATGCAGAGTAGAACTTCACTCCAGCTTTCTTCGGACGGAATTCGACGTATGCCTGTCGCAGAATGTAAGCTAGGTCGCTTGCCGTAACCGTACTCAGGTCACAGCGACGTCCTGTGTCTTTACAATACTCGTCGAATAAGCGGAGCCATTTGTCAGTTGCCTGCTCTGTGTTTTTGTTTTTCTGCTCAGAAACGAGGCTGTCGATGGCGGCGTCGGACAGTTTCTCAAATCGGCTTTCGACAGTCTTCTCCAATACTTGGGCGTCTGCTGTCTCGACTCTCACGGAGCTTGTGAAGTTGACTTTGCGGACGCAAGCCGGGTCCACATTCGCTTCCGCGACAGCGTCCTCGACCAATTATTATTTGGTGTGCTGCAGCAAGTCAGCAGCGACTGCTTGGCGGAGCGACTCGCAATATTCCCCAGTACGCCGCCAGCCAATGACCAGATGATGACAATGTGGATGCACTGCAGTGCGATATTGCACCCCGGCGAGTGAGCGTGCAAATAACCTATATCTGCACGCTCACTTCGAAGCGAGCGTGCAAATAACCTATATTTGCACGCTCGCTTCGAAGTGAGCGTGCAAATAACCTATATTTGCACGCTCACTTCGAAGTGAGCGTGCAAATATAGGTTATTTGCACGCTCACTCGCCGGGGTGCAATATCGCACTGCAGTGCATCCACATTGGCTGGCGGTGTACTGGGGAATATTGCACGCTCAGTAAGGCCGCTGATTGGCTCAAACCATGGAGACACTCACGTGGGGTGCGATAATGCTTGATACTCAACAAAAACAACGACCTGTCCAACACCTAGTATCTACATCAACAGTACATCAGTGCTGCGTTGATGTGTCCACAAAGGACGAAACAGTTCTGTCCACAGACACAGTACTGACTAGAGTAGACTGTACACCATCAGTACGTGCACGCGTACTTCGAAGTGAAAGCATGCTTGAGTTGCAGGAGAGCTGCACTGAATGTTTTGGAAGTCAGAGAGGCGCGCTCGCTTCGTTCGCCGTGCACGCGTGAGCATGTGAGACCACGCGAGCATTTTGTCGCAGGAGAGGTGCGACACCACTCCCGCAAACCTTGTCGCACCAGCGGATCCGGCACTGCATGTGGGACCGGGCCCTGAGGTGACGTCGTGGGTCTTGGGGAGATACTTGTTCTCTGAACATTTCAGTCCTAAGGGTGCAGGTAACCCACAGTCAATTCTGACAGCGATTCAAGCCACAGCGATTCAAGCCACAGCGATTCAAGCCACAGCGATTCAAGCCACCTCGATTCAAGCCACCTCGATTCAAGCCACAGCGATTCAAGCCACAGCGATTCAAGCCACAGCGATTCAAGCCACAGCGATTCAAGCCGCAGCACCCTGAAGTACTTTCCGACCATTCAGAAAGTTCAAATCTCCTGCATCCGTATACAGGCCATTGATTTAAGGCCTTTGCGATTCCATATTAATGCTAAATTCATCCAATTGTAGTGTACAGTTCTGAGGTATATTTAGTCGATCCTGGGGGCTTACATGTACATGTACATGTAGGTAATCGCTCAGTGTGCCACCGCGTCCAGTGGGATGCATATTCTCTAAACAAAATCTCTACGACGGAAGTCCTGTATCGTCATTCAAGTGCACATCTCGAATATGGTTGAATCTAAATTTAGAATGTTATTTTGGCGTCCAATGCCGAGTCCTATCTAGACCAGGAATCGACAGCATTTATACAATGTAGCTCAAATCCACAAATGTTCACGGAAGCATACCGCATGCCAAGCATGTCAACCATGCATCCCATCACGTCACGAAACTGCTAGCGTAAGCAAACTATGGTCCTGGACGTGCAAGTGACCGGGCAAAATCTTCGTCTTGTCTTAGCATTGTGTGGTACAAGACTGGACTGGAAGACCTTGGTATGATCTACCAAATATACGTACTGTACCTCCAGAATTGCTCATAGTTTCATAATATTATGGTTAATAAGTAGCTTCATCTCTACTGCCCACACACGCTGTCGCAGTTTGCCGCCCAATTTGTTTTATGGTACGAAAAACCTTCTGAAACGTGTAGGGGAAGTCTGTGATTTAGGCAGATGTTTCACTGTGTGTTTGTAAATTAATGTAATTTTGTTCTTTATGCAATTCCCAAAGGCTTCTCTCGCCTGTCGAGATTGCTTCCATGATACCGAAACCATACTCAAATTGGACACTCTGTCCAAACTGCTCAGGGACAAACCGGACAAATGGCAGCTGAGGAAGCTACTAGTACTCGAGTTACTAAACATCTCCTCCTCAAAACGGATCACCCATGATACAACCTGTACACAAAAACCGAACAATTCTCATCTAGTATTGACACATAGTGTGTGATCGTCCAGAAGTCGCCTAATTCCAAGCACTGGGTGAAGCTAGCCATCAAGATGTGAAAATGCCGCCTAGACTACTGCCATTGCGATGGATAGACACAGTTCGGCACGCGCTGAAAAACGCATAGATGTATCTGTCCTTTGAGAGCGCTCCCCAAGCTGAGGAGTACAGACCGACTTGGAGTTCCTACTTGTATATGGCAGGTTCAAGGAAGGTGCGACCTGTGTTTCTTGTGAAGATGTACTCATGTTAGTGTTTTGTATCTTCATAAGAATTGCTAGTTGGCATATGACAGCTTTAGCTGGCAGATTGAACATTTACTGCTTACACAGCTAAGCTGCGTAATGCCGCTTTCGCTCTTAGCAATTTACAACATTTATAGTGATGTTACCCGTCATTTCTGAAGACTTGTGTTCCGTTCTGTTCCACTGCGGCCGCATGCCAATGATACTTTACAGCAGCTTGTCAGCGGTGCGAGCAAGCACTTGTCTCACAGCCTCCTGAATGTGCTATTTCCAACACCGCTGACATGTCTTCTCCTAGTGTTTGACGCCAGACGGTGCTCCTCGACTAGATCCGAAAATGATGATGGTCGATTGAGGATGTAGTCAAACGTGCGTTCTAGGGCTGTAACTTAGTGTAAGCAATAAGTGCCAAAGGGCTCCGATTTCCTGTTCGTTGAGCTGGGAACATTTGCGGACGCAATTCGATTATTTGTTCTGAAACTGGTTAAAAATGATTTGTAGTATGCGCTTGTATGCCAGTAGGAACAATCTCTGAGGTTGCTCGTTGTAGGCTTCTGCACTCTTGCACCAGAACTTCAAACTTAGTCATATCAAAGAGGATGAGATTAGGAGTTGTCGTGGCACTGCTGCAGGTGATATTCTGCACGCAATTGCTGCTGGTGGAGATTTGCAATGGCGAGCTGACGGACGCGGAGTATGCCGAGCATCTACGCAATGTCCTGGAAAGTGCTGATGAGTATGATGTGGAGGACAAGATATTATCACACACATCCGACGATAATATGGATGATAGTGTTGAAGACGACGGTTTTCAAGCACTAAGCGCAGCAATTGTTGAGGCGGCCCGTAGGAGACTGACCGAAGATGACCACGATGCGGACTTTGGTGAGAAGAAGGAAGATGAGACCGAACTTCTGATTACTCGCGATGGGCACGACGAGGAGGAAGATATCCACCAAGGTGAGGAGTCATATTCTAACAGGATGCGATCCCGTAAAAGGAAACGCCCAGTGAAGTATTGGCTTTTTCAAGGCCGAAGACGATCCAGCGCACCTAGGCGACGCCGCAGGTACGGACGCGTCTTCCACGTTCTCAGGCGCATTCGGGGACGCTAGATTCAGCCAGTTAAAGTAAGGATGACGGCAGCTATGTAGAGGTATGTTGTCACTAGGCCGCCAAGGATTCCATTTTCCGTTCCATTTTGATATTCTTCAAAGTAGCTACAGAGTAGTGCAACGTGCTGTTGAAAAGGCAACGGTCCTCCTCTCTACGGTCCTCCTCTCTACGGTCCTCCTCTCTACGGTCCTCCTCTCTAATATCGTTTATACATTGCTTGCTCTCTTCTACTGCTGCCTTCACAACCATAACAGATCCCTGCTTCGCGAGTTATTCACCCCACAATGACAGCAAGCATGTGCCGTCCAACCTGTGCGCAATCTGCATAAGACTTACCCTGGCTTCCTTTCTGATGACCCTCTGTTATTAAATTTTTGTTTTCTGTTCAGGAGTGGTGATAATGAATATTGTAGAATCCAAGTTCAATTTTTGGCTCTGGATAGGTTGCGTAAAACTTGAAGTAACTGCTAAACAAACCCTCATTGTGTGCAATTCAACCATTAAAATATTTATGTTGCATCGAGGGCTGCGTCCCACCCGCCTGTGTGGATTCACAGGAAGTGTGAGTTACGAAGTCTGAAGAAATTGTTGAACGGTCTCTGCTGAGATGACGACTACACCATGGCTCAGTGGTTAGAGCATCGCTGGCTACAAGAGAGGGTCCCTGATTCGAGTGCTGGTGATGACATTCAATTTTTTCTTCAGACTTTTCCCGTTGGCGTTTTTCCTTCAAACCAGTGCATATTGTATGACGTGCCACCCCCCCCCCCCCCCCCCCCCCCGGCGTGCTAGTTTGTACGTGAGGTGTGTGGGTTACAGTGAGGGCTGCCACCCGCCTGTGTGGATTCACAGGAAGTGTGAGTTACGCAGTCTGAAGAAAATGTTGAACCGTCCCTGATGGAATGATGACGACTACACCATAGGTCAGTGGTTAGAGCATAGCTGGCTACAAGCGAGGATCCCTGGTTCGAGTCCTGGTGGTCACAGTCAATTTTTTCTTCAGACTTTTCCCGCTTGCGTCTTTCCCTCAAACCAGTGCAAACATTAGTTGTAGTTTGGCAGCGGGGGCCGAGCTAGTCGAGGCCGAGTCCTATCTAGACCATGTTCGCACAAGCATGACGAAGAATAGAGCATCTGTCAATGATGTATGGCATCACGCGACCAAACTGCCAGAGCAGGCAAGCCCTGTACCGTTTACGTGTCAGTGGCCAGACACAATCTTCGCTCATTTAGCAATGTTTGGCACAAGACGGGCCTTGAAGACTCCAGCACAGTCTACCGCATACGTCCAGCATTGTTCCAAGTTCCAAATACGCAATAAGGGCATAGCTCCAAGTACTGCACATGATACTGGTACCTTTGGACAAGTATTAATTTTGGCGTCCCGGGCCGCGTTCCATACAAGTACATGTACATACTGCAATACGCTTTTAGTTTGGCAGTATCATTGCAATACAAATTTTATCTTTATTAAGTACTTCAATGTGTATGCATGGTCCAATGCACTTGCGTTCACTTCGGTTCCACGGATGGTCACACGAGCATGACACATCACACTATCATTGTTTGGTGGTGCGGTAAAGCACGTGCCACAATCGCTAGAGACCATTCTGGGTATGCAATTTTCATCCAAGATCGCCTGCCAGTGTTCGACACGACTCACGCGGTCCTATTCCTAGACTAGAGGGCGGTCTTCCACAGACGTGTAAGAATGTTCCAAAAGTCTAGCCCCGAAAGCATAATAATTATGAGCTGAACTTTTAC